TGAATGTTTTATGGTATCAATGTTGTATACAAATGTTATGGTACGTTTTACTATAACATCGTTGTGTACCATGTCCATGTCCAGGTATGTTTTATTATAACAATGGTGTATACAATTTCAGTGTCCTGGTATGTTTTAATGTACTAATGTTGTATACCATGTTATGGTATGTTTTAGTTTACTAATGTTGCATACAATGTTATAATATGTTTAATGTACTAATGTGTTATACAATGTTAAGGTATGTTTTAATGCACTAATGTTGTATACAATGTTATGGTATGTTTAATGTACTAATATTGTATACAATGTTAAGGTATGTTTTAATGTACTAATGTTTTATACAATTTCATTGTCATGGAATGCTTAATATAATTATTATAATACTAGGGCTTAACCGGCTGCAATCTTTTACACCGGGTCCGGGTATTTTGAGAAATTACCCGGTTGGTCCGAGTGTTACTTGAAAAAAAAAAAGATTTAACTTCTCCTTTTCTATAATATGCAACAAAATCTACTGCCCTGTGTCGTAGTGAGCATTCAGTGCTTTCGACAATCGTTTGTGTCAAGAAATAACCCACAGGTAGGAACATGGCACTTGTTGGATCCCGGAATAGAGACGACTTTGTACAAAAAAGCCCGTCGACAGAGAAGATGATGTCTTTCATTTTATAACAAAGACACACGAAACAACAGTCTCGGCATAGCGAAAATAGCAATACCTTCCTGTACCAGGCCACGGGGAAAGACTCACGGGGGCACGCTAGTTTTAATATGGGTGTCCATGTCGGTCCTTTCAATGCAGTTGCATAAACTAATTGTGTAACATAATATCGTTGGTTGAAACAATGTGCCTGTCAATGGAGGTATTCAAATAGTTTAAGTACTTAAATGGCTTGATGAGGTGTCAATTGTAAGTCTTCAACTCCGTGTTTGGGTGAGACGGACAGGACGCGGGGAGAATAGGCTTTTGGGGTGCAGAGGAGTTGAGGTGGATTTGGGCGAAGGGAGTGGCGGTAGCTGGACAGACGTTGCAATCTGGTGTGGGAGGTGGGCACTCAGAGCTACCTCACAAAGGACCAGTAGTGTTTAATGTTTTGTTTTCTTAAATGGATTTTTCTTGAAACCTCCACAGTCTCAGATAAGTTTAGTTTTTTTTTTATTTTGTTCTTCATTTGTTTTTGTTTGGTCGTTGAAAAATGGCTTTCTGTCGACGCGTCGGTTGTTTTGTTGTTGTTGTTTTAAAATCATTCTTCTGGTTTTTCCCAACTTTGTGCTACTCATTTCATTTTACCAACCTAGTAGTCCCAGCAACCCCCCCCCACTTTTTTTTTCAACCCATTACAATAATCATTTGGGCTTAACAAAGCCTACACAATCTGCGCGCCTTTTACAGAAGTCAGTTAAGAGTGCATTATTTTCGTGTCTAAATTTCATTAATTCCTTTAACCAGTTTTATTTATTATTTTAACTTTGAGTTAGGGTGGTTGTTTTTTTTAAATAATTTTTTCTTGCTGAATTCTACATCATTTTGATTGATTGTGAAATTATTTAGGCTTATAATTTGGCTTGGGGGAGGAGGGTAGAAGGAGAACGTTCTATTGTTTGTATAAAAGAGCGCGGAGAATGGCAACAATAATGTAATAGAGTAAATAAAGATTGTGAAACATGGATCGGAAAGGAAAAGTGGATTGCACAAATTTCAAAAGGGGGGGGAGGAGGATTAACTAGTGACCAAAAAGTGGGTGGGTGGGGAAGAGGTGATTTAGTCTACGAACTGCTAACAATGGCCAGGGAAAACATGATGTAAAAATATATAACTAGCCGACCGTTACGAAATATATTCTGCTTAGTGCTCTGTAGCCTATAGCAGCGTTCAGAAACTTTTCAGTTTGGTGGGCAAGTTTTGAAATACCACCAGTGAACGGTTCCAGATTTATTAATTACATTTTCTTTTTTATTTGACCATAAGTATTTAGGTTGTGGGGACCGGCAACGAAAGGGTCGCGGACCGGCCACAGTCCACAGACCACCATTTTGGGACCTCTGGTCTATAGTACTCTCACTCTCTACCAAACGAGCACTTCTCACACGTGACATAAACGTAAGTGAGACCACTCATCATTTCATACATACTCCCCTCTCCTCCCCCCATTTTTCAATTACCGGTAAGATTGTGAGTGCTTTGCAAACTTAATATTTTAATTAATTGTCATATTTAGGGAGTAAACGAAATATATCTTCTAAATGATTAATAGGAAATGAAACATGAAGTCCACACAAATGTTAGAAGAAAGGGAAGTGCGGATATAGAATTGTTGTGCTAGTCACGTGACACTGGCATGTTGCACGTATATAACTATTAGTGGTGTATGTAGATAGATTGTGTTTCCTTAATCCGCTGTATAGTATATGCTTATATATATATATACATATATATATATATATATATATATATATANATATATATATATATATATATATATATTGCTATGTATGCCTACTACGCAGTAGGGTTATCGATATTATTTGTTTGAATCAATCGATTACGTGCAGCTGGAGATGAATGATTGGTGTGTGTGGGTACTTACACTCTAGGCAAAATTCGCTGTTCTTGCTTGAGTCGAGCGGGACTAGAACAACCGCCATTGTACAACTTAGCCGGCTTGTTGCGATTTCTTTTCCAATGTAAACAAATTTCCTTACCTCGTACAGGTAGAGGTTCACACATAACTAAGGAGGACAGCCCTGGTACCACGGGTTCTCCCAATCCTCCAATGAGCGTGCGACCTGCAGGTAGCGCCCCCAGCCCGCTACGTCCAAACAAACCAGAAGGCCTGTTATCCTGTTAACAAAATCATTTTAAAAAAAAAATAATAAAAATAAAAAAACTGAAATGAATTGCGCTCTTGGATATTTCACTAGAAAAAACTAGAATGTTGTTCAGGACTGCAGTGGTTCTCAAACATTGTCTGACCGCAACCTTGGGACAAGAAATTTGAAGAAATATATTTTCCCCGAGCGCCTACCCTATTTTAAGTATTCTCAAAACAATATTTTGCACGATCCATTACAGTATTACAGAAGATTCATTTTATACAAAGAAATTTAAAAGTGTGACATAAATGATGGTATTTAATCAAATTACAAATATACGTTTTTACTTTATACATATGAATGTATGGGGGTGTCCATTAATTACGTCAATAATGTTTATGCAATTTGTAAACCATCCTCCCCTGTCAACAACTGTCAAAACTTTCAATGCACCCCCCCCCCTAAGTAATTATGTCACAATTTTTAATTTTTATATTAATATACAAATAAACATTTTGTGCTGACCTAGTCTACTTTAATGACACAAATTTGTAGGAAAATATTTTATTGCAACTTTAGCTTATTAAGCAATAAGTTAAAAATGTCTTTACACTTACATTTGACAGTGCAGAATCAATGAAAAGGTTGTTAAAGACTAAATATCATTGTTTGTGGTAGTATAAATATGATTAATGTCAGTATAGCTGACAATTGTACCATAGTTTAGAGCTGCTATCCTCTTCCCAGGGAGCAGCCAGGTGTTGATCTATCGTAACAATGGCCATATTCGCTGATTTATCATTTTCATTTTGTGGACCTGATTACCAGACAAGTCAACATCATCCTCATCTAACCATTTGGCAATTAAATAGAAGCATAGTCAGTGTGAGCAATAACTGCCATAAGCCCTCTCTGTCTCCTGGCAGCTACTTGTATTAGCCGAATCAATTTCTGTTGAGGAGCAGGTGATAATTTCTTATGCATTGTCGGTGTTGTTCGACGTGTTAGTTCAACATGACTTGTGATGAAAAATAGATGTTACAGATTTGGCAAATCCGTTCAAGCAGCGATGTTATTATTATTATTGTTACACACTAAACTCACTTTTCTTTCCCATAATTCTTAAAATATCGTATTCCTACTCTTTCAATATAATTATAATTTATCTTGACTGCACATGACACTTGAACTTTGTCTTTGTTCCCATGTCCATACCTGCAACATGATCGCACACGTACTGCCCTAGTCATTTGTGACAAACAGAATCTATAGGCTAAGAGAGGCCATCCTTTGACGTCTCTTGCACTAACAAAGTGTGAAAACCAGGGTTTCTTTCAGCTATATCACGGGGGGGGGGGGCGCAGTGCCCGCCCCCATCCCCGGGGAAAGCCAAGTGCCCTACCCCGGAGCAAAAATATGTCCAACAATAAATCAACTGGAACTGCAAAACCAGGGTTTTTTTCAGCTATTCCCCGGGGGGGGGGGCGCAGTGCCCGCCCCCATCCCCGGGGAAAGCCAAGTGCCCTACCCCGGAGCAAAAATATGTCCAACAATAAATCAACTGGAACTGCTGGCACTGCCCCCCCCCCGAAAATCTGAAGTACCCCCCCCCCTCCCCCCGGGAAAATTTCTGAAAGAAACACTGGTGCTAACATTCTGACTTATCTGACCAACCCTCGCCTTCACCTCAGCAGTGCACAGACAGCCACTCGTAAATAATAAATAAATCTTGTTTTGTTAAAAGCCTTAAAATGATATAGGTCAATTAATGTAAACCCCCTCCCCTCTTGCCAACAATTTTCAAACATTTCCAAGCCCCCTTCCGCCCCTATTTTGTTGACATAATTAATGAACGACCCCTGGCTAAGGGCTAAGGTTGGGGTACTTGAATTTACAAAATTACAATCTCAATCTGTCAACTGTCAATTTTTACAATTTACAATTACAGAGTGAGGAAAAAAGGGCGACGTCAAAACTTGCCCAAAAATTGTTAACATAGTTTATGGACCGGTAAAAGCAGATCGATTGGTCACGTTAATCTTTTTCCTTACATTGAATTTGACTTTTATCCAGTTTCAGTAGTGGAAAACTTTTCAGCTCCTCCTTTATACTTTCAGGGAGAAATGCTAACATTAGTGTTACTAAGCGACGCCTAAGGTGGATTTTTCTATATTTAGATATGTCATGTGACTGAAACTAGGACAAAATGGCTAATGGATAGATGATAGACTTATGAGATCAGTCATGGTAATTTCAAGTTAAAAAAATAATTAAAAAATGAACCACACTTATTGAAGCAGTTGCTGCGGTGTGATTACACTTTTAAGGGTAATCCCTTATCATTATTTTACCACCCTACTATTACTTTTACTATTAGTTACTAAACTTACTACTACACTACTTACCAATTTCAATTATCAATTCAATGAGACTTGGACTTGGACTATTGACTTGACAATGAATTAATGATCAATAATTTTTTAATGTCAATATTGCTCTGTCACTGGGGTCAGACTCTGACTCTGAGTACTCAGACTGAAGGCTAAAGCAAAGGCCAGTAAAACTCACTTGTTGTCATGTTTAGTCAATGATTCAATTATCTTTCATTTTGATACCAAATTTTAGTGACAGTGAGTATGAAATGTGGGTATCGGTATATCATCAATAATCACACAATCTCTAGTACTAGTACAGTTAAGTGTCCCAAATTATTATTTATTTTTGGCTGCGGCTATCCGGACCCAGTACTGAAGAGTGAGAGGGTGGGTTTATTGAAAAATATAAAAAATATTATTGTAGGGTTTGTAAGATAAAATTTGGTATCAAATCAAAATGAAAGATAATTGAATGGACTATGACTATGAGTATGACTATGAGTCATGAGTAACTATGACACTTTATTCTTTTATATTATATGTTTTTAAACTTACTTCTTCAGTTTAACCAAAATAAACTACCACAAATGACATCCAAATAGTATTTAGTCTAAAGGGACAGGGGCACTCATACTCATAGTCATAGCCACTATGCTTATTTTTATTTAGGTCTAAAATATAATATAATCATAAGCAATATCAATATAAACGGAAAATTTAGTTATAATTATTTCAGTATTTTAGTAATATTACTATTACATTTAAAATAAAAAAAGGAATGTTACTTGAATGTAGGCCTATATGCTATGATATTTATTTTTTTTTTTTTAAAGTTAATGCATACTCTCCTGTTGACACATTGCTTTTACACTGATATATTTTAGTTTCCAACCATTATGAAAAAGTTTATAATATAAGCACATTTTAGTTTAAAATATTCACTCTGTGCCTTGTGCTTCAGGCCAAGGAAACAACTTTTGAATATTGGTGTCACAGTTGTTCATTTGAATTTAATTTTGTCATGGATCAGAAGATATTATGGACTCTTCACAGACGTTTACTCATTAAATCTTTCAGCTTTTATCCTGACATGCTTGTTGTCTTCAAAAACTCAAAAATTTATTAAAAGAACATACTATTTATTACTTTAAAATAAACTGGTCATGTTGTGGAAAAATCTATTTTTATATACCCTGTCAATATCCTGTTTTTTTATATTGTACTAATGTATTTTATGCCAAAATAATGTCCTGGTATTTTAAAATTAAGAAATTTGCCTTTTTCTTTTCAAGTTGCTAAAAAGATGTACCAGTGTAATGCTTGAATTGGGCACAGCATACAAAATTAAATAATTAAGCACATGCGAATAATTCTGAACAGTTGGTCACTCTGGTTTGCAAGCCTATCATTTTGTATATTTTATCAAGCTGTGCGCCTATTTAAATTATAAATGTTACAATAACTACCTTTGTCTGACTCTTATTTTAATTGATTTTGAGAAATATATTTTTAATTGTATTTTAAACTTCATTTTTATTTTTCCTTCTAGTTACAATGAATCTTTGCAAATTGAACCAGAGTCTTTCAGAAGCAGTTGACTTATTTATAATTAGGAAATTCGACCTGTGTTTTAGACTGTGCACTAATGTCATCAAGACAGCCAAATGTGATACAGAACAAGAAGGGTATGGAACAACATTAATTCAGAACAATTTTAATATATTTCTATGTAAATTTAAGCTAATTTTTTTTGTTTTGTTGGGAGTTTCACAGCCACCACTGCCCACCAAAACAAAATAATCAATGTTTGAAACAAAATAAGATTTAAAAAAAAAAGAAAATCACTATTTTGGAGTTAAATACCCTTAATATAACAACACTGGAATGCTCTGTTTAGAACTGTATAGGTACTTACAAGTTAAAAAATATATTTTCTTTTTCCTCTTTTTAATTGAATTAAAATCCATAAATGCGTGTAATATAGTGCAGGAACAGTAAAAACAATTTAAGTTCCATGTTTTACTTCCTTTTAAAAATGTTTAATAAATGAAATTTTGTTGATTATATTTTAATAATGTTGAATTCTGCAATAATTCTAGAAATCAAGATGTGATAGAAGCAGCTACTGCACTGGGGATTCAAGCATTAGCAGAGAATGACATGTGGCAGCACACTGTTGCATTTATCAATAATACTTATGGAGCTATAGAACTGTGCCCACCTAGAATAATTCAAGTGTGGTAATTATATTGATATCATTACTTGATGCATAATGTTTTTGCAGAATAATCTACAGTGGTGGTATTTTCCAACAAGGAGTTGGAAATCTTGTATTTCAATTAGTGGCATTGTGCAATGGAAAAATGTTATGTAATGAAAAAGAGTGAATCAAAATAAATGTTGATGAGGAATTATAGTGGTTCTTTGGCATAAGAAAATTTTAAAATAAATTTTAAAATGTAAATGTTGCTATGGCAGACTGGTTAAGAAAGGTTGCAGGATTAACTCCATAAAATCTAAATTTTAAAAATAAATGTTTGAATTAAAGTGTGTTTCCAAAAAATAAGAATTATTTTTTAGAAGCTTTTACTCTTCTTATACATGAAAAGAAAATCAAGTTATATGTGGAAATTGTCAAATATGAATCTTTTCTAATTTATTAAAGCTATATTCATTTTTTTCTGATTATGACTAGTAAATTTTGCTGTTGTTTAAAAACAGCTACAGGTAGACAATATAAATTTTATAATTTTCATTGTATTTCAGTATACTTCTTCACGCTCATGTTAAAGAATATGCCCAATGTCATCAAATTGTTCAGATGTGGTTAAAAAACCCACATAATATTAATAATTGCCAATGTTCAAAGGTAAATATTTTGAATGTACGCTGCTGTATATATACAATTAATACAATCAAATGTTTCTTAAATTTTATTCTTATACTTCCTAACTTGGTTTTATTTTGCTATTCATTATTATTTATAATTTGTTTCAAGAAATATATTTATCCTAGCTATAGCCCGCCAAACATTAGCGTCAGCAATGTGTGAACTTCCCATGTAGTAAAGTTACTTGACAAAACATGAACTCAAGTAACGCACATTTAAAAATCCCAATATTTGCTACACTCCTTCCCCCATGATACATCACTGCACACTTTTTATTTCACTTCCACAAACTATATTAATATTCTCATGTCCCAACCACTTTTAAACTGAATATTTTTTACACAATACTTAAATTGAGACGGTTTCATTTCCGAAAAGAAAATATTACGCACCAAACGCAATTGCGTTATTAAAAATATATATATATCATTTAGCATAGTTAACGGGAATTATATTTTGCGGTTTAGTGAACTCATTATTTAACCACACTCTGGCTTATCTATATATAAATCTATATATGGTGGTGTTTGACCTTTGCTGGTGAATTATATATATAGATTGCTCCTTGCTCATAGGTTATTCAAGTTTATGCACATCATATTTTATGCCCTACTGGTTCATACGAGATGTTACAAGAGATTGTCCAAAGCTGCAGTAATTGCCTTACACTCTCTGAAAAGTCAGCCTTACTTAAACTACCTCAGGTAAATTTTAGTGTGTATTGTCTTTCATTATTTATTGCATTTAGAGTTAAATTGCTAAATTTAGTTTTGTAAAAAAAACAACAACTTTAAGTAAGACTACTACTACTCAAATTAAAATGATCTTTTGAAACATTTTTCAATTAATTTGGTGATTGAGACCGATTTCTTTCTGAAATAGGCTGGCAGATTTAAAGACGCAAAATTCAAGTCAGAAAGTTATAATCCACTAATAGAAGCAGAAATTGGTAGTGAAAAAATAGAGTGTTCAAGATTAAATGCATCAGGTCTTACATGCACCTCCAACAGCAGTGACCACCCGGATAAAGTCTTTGATGACCTGTTACCAAATAAAAGGCCAAAAGGTGCATTGTTTAAAATTAAAATCTAATTACTTTTTAAAAACAGGGACTTTATATGAAATTAACTTTTCTTTTTTTTTTTTAAAGTAAAAATGTATGTCTGTATATTTTGCAATGAGTAATATCCTGTATGCAACATTGGTTGTAAAGTAACAATGGCCTCTCTATTTGTAAAGAAGTCATTGAACCATAATGCTGTAGGAGTGAAGGCATAGAGCAGTGAAGAAATTAGTATCTATTACTAAGTGTAACATCTAAAACTCTTAGTTATTTGCCTGCTTTCAAGTTATTTGCCTCTGGATCAAGTTAATCAGTTTTGTTTTTAATTAATTGATTTGTAATTTCATAAAAAGTTCACATATATGATACTGTTTAGCATAACATTATCTTATTATCTATATTGTTAGAGAGTTGTGAAAATAATATTCTGAATATAGCTGATAACAGTTTACGACAGGGGGGCCCTTGTGATGAGTTTATTACACCAAGTGGGTTGTGGATAGAAGAAAGTATGAGAACCACTGCATTAACACGTCCCACTGATGGAAACCATGTACCAAGTTTCATCTCTCTAAGAACCTAGTAACCTAGTCAGAAAATGGATCCTAATGGTCAACATACATAGTGGTGTTATGTGCTGGAATCAGATTTAACAAATTTGATTTCAAATGTCTAGTTAACAAACAGTACTTACCAAAGGGACAGTAGCATTGATTAAATATGATGTAGAAAGAAGCAACAATTTATTTCCACTGTTAATTACAGTATAAAACTAAAAGTGCAAACTCAAATACAAAAATATGAAAACCTCTTAACTTAGAGCGTGTGAAACCATATTATATTAGGAAGGTGAAAATATTAATCTACACACACATCAAAAAATCTTAATAAGTCTTCTTAGTCCTTCTTGATCTCTTGTAGGTCCTGTATTTTGTTGATCAGTTGACCTTTAATTTATAGTCGGGGAGGGGGGGGGGGAGAAAACATTTCTAGATTCGAACCTTTAGTTTTAAAAGGAAAGAATTCTCTATATAACCCTATAGGAAGTATGTGAGAAGCAGTGGTTGGAGGATGGCCTGTCAACACAAGGACACGTTTATTGATGTTGACATTAAACACAAATATAAGGGGAGATAATTCTGCAGCCCAAAGCTACAACTCTAGTTGAAACTAAAGCTGAGTCAAGAAAATTTACATTTAACACTATAACTTATAACAATAGATATACATAACTCACATAAAAGTAAATAAAAACAAACATTTTAAAGGACCTAATGAAAATCTTTGAAGAATAAAATATAACCATAAAGTTATTCAAGAGATGAAACCAACAAACAGACCACAAAGGATACCACAAAGGATAAAAGATAACAAGTGGGGATTTTCTATCTCCCCACAGTCCCATATACCCCCCCCCCCCTTTTCCAATTCTACAAATTGTCATAAGAGATATGTGCCACTGTGTCATTTGAAATTAACAAAAAGGAAAAAAGAAAACAAGGGGGGATTTTTTATCCCCCCCCAGTCCCATATCCCCCCCCCCCCCCTTTTCCAATTCTACAAATTGTCATAAGAGATATGTGCCACTGTGTCATTTGAAATTAACATCAATATGTCCTTTAAGACTGTCCTAATTTTGACATATGACAAGAAAACTTCAAGTTTAAGCCACACCTAACACTACTGCCAGAGAAGATCTATGTACACCTAGACAGCCTCAACATGACAGTTTCCTTTGTAGAGTTGCTAGACTGGACATTTAATTGAACAAACAAGAAGAAGAAATTTCTTTAAAGTTATTATAAAACCTTCTACAGAGGCTAAGCATATCATCAAGTATTAAACTATGAAAATTTGCAAATATTAAAGCAAAGATTTTTGCATTTGAAGTAAACTAGCACATTTTTAAAAAAAAATTACTTGTCTTAAAAGGGCTATAAATAAATAAAGATGTTTTTTCTCCAGGTTTCACTACATGGCGAGATATTTTCAAGATTGTACAGCAATTTTTAATTAAGTTCGTGTGGACTCCAAGATCATTTGGTTTAATTGTGATGGGCATTTTCGCCTTTTGGGGAATTATTCAAACTCAAACAGGTGGGACATTTGTTACAACTTATCTTTTTGTCCATGCAGTTAAAGCTGCAGTGCCTCAAAATTGTTTTACCACTCAAGCATATGAATTTATGCTAAGCAATAATGAACGGATGATTAAAACAAAAGAACTATATTTTTCAGTCAATAAATTTATATTTAAAACTATAAAAACTCAAGGATTGATACCAATTTCATTGTTTTATGATTTAGGGCTTCATTTTTATAAAGGCTATACAATTAGAACTGAACATAAACAATAATACCATCTCACATGGAAAGATATTATTTTATAAATGGCTGTCGATATTCTGGAAACCACTTTCAATAACTTTTCATTTTTTTCTGAGGCTCATCATTATAAAGCTAATAAAGAGAGCAAAAAGTTGGCATTGCATCAACACATTTACAGGACTTTTTGACAGTATAGTGCATTTGTAATTAAAAGTGAAAAAAATAATATAAATATAATTTACCTATCATTGTGAATCATTTATATTGTCTTTTTAGCAGACTCCATTTCTAGCATCAGTAGACTAGTCATACTTTGGAGGTATTTCATTCAACACATAAGGATTTGGTCTAATATCAAGTCATAGAGAGGAATGAGCAGACTAGTCATACTTGCCAGATAATTCATTCATCACTTGGGGATTTGGTCAAATACCAGGTCATAGAGAACATTCATTGTCATTCCTTGCCCACATATTTACCAAGATTTGTGGTTACTGCGCCATCATGTTAAATTTAAATAATCAGTTCCGATTAAAAGCTCCATATGCAAACAATATATGCATTATGTTTGTATAGTCCTATTAAAATAAGATATATTTTCAAAATAGGATTATGGCAATTTATGTAAATGTAAGTAGACTTTTTTTCTTTTTGGTTTTTTGCCTTTTTTAATAATAATAATCTATACTATAAAGAAGTGTTGAAAATTCACACACTTACAGAGCTGTTTACTCTTACGATGTACAATGTATGATTTTGGGGTGTATACATTATATATACTGTACCGGTATGTTTAATTTTTACTATTAAGATAATGTATTGAACAATTGTGTGATGATATTGTACGATTTTAAGAGTTTGAGGGTAAACTGGTCTGCACTTACTGAGATAATTACTTAATATTTGACAGAATAATGGAAGTAAAAAAGAAAGCACAGTGACATTTGTAAAGACTAGTACATAGCACACTGAACAGTGCAATAGTTCCAGAAATTATCACATTCAATAACAAATCAGAAAACGGGTTTGCCGATAAGTTATATATTCATTTGCCACCTCTAAAAATACTTTAAAAAAAAATAAATTCAGTTTGACTAACAATCTTTTCAGACTCCTCTATTTCACCTTCATATTCCTCAACCACATTCCAGTAAAAATTACTAACAATTTTGGCTACAAGTAAAAGAATCTTTATGTCATTTATTAGAAGATACTTCATAAATACAAAATGGGTTTACAAATTGACTTGGAACGAAAACAGTGAGAAAGATATTTCATTCAAATCCTGCTCTTTCATGTCTGAATTATTTAGCTCTTCAGTCAAAACCTGTTCTTTCAGGTCACTTTTAAATAGAGATTTTTTTTGTCAGATGCATTTTTTGAATTCTGATACTTTTCACTATGATCAAAATATGGAGTTTAAGTAACTTTAAGAAGATGATATCTCAGCATGGGTGGCACACTGGTGTTTTATCTTGTGACCCCTCTGCAGACACCCAAATGAGACAGTAATACATCACCATCTCCACTGCCCAGCACCTCTGGACTTACACCTTAACTACCTACCAAAAATATCGGTACCAGACTACACCAACACCATCTTCATCTATACAAACAACTATGAAGTATGAAGATTGTGAAAATTCTTCATTATGGCCTCCAGCCGAAGGGCACATGCCCAAATGGCTGCTGGAAGGGATTATTTCTCCAATCATGAAAAATACAATTTTATGTGAATTTCACAGCTGATGTCTTTCATTTAGTCGAATAACCTCAACTTTACTGAATATACTAGACAGTGCAGTTAACAATTGCAATACTGTCCCGCAACCAACAAAAAAGGCAAGAGATGCATCCACCATTTCTGCACAGTTTGGACCGAAATATATAATATAGAAGCAAGACAACTGACCAAGTACACATGAACAGGAAGATATGGAGGCCTTCACCTGCTTGTTTATGTAATACCTTGAAATAAATGAAGCAGATTTCAGGTCCAGAATTAGAAAGGCAAGGTCAGCAGTCAGCATTTGTGGAGAAAATCTGGGATTCAGAAGTTAAAAAAAAAATTTTTAATATTTTCAATACAAATTTCTAATTCCTTTTCTATAGTCAAAACTTGGCGGACAGTGAAAATATAGACCTTTACAAACACCTGCCTGAGAAAGATACTGAAAACTGAACATAAAATTTCCAAACATCATCAACAAAGCCTTTCGGTATTGTAGAAAACATATCAAGTGCCTCTTGCTTAAGCCATCACAAGGAAATGATGGCCGTGGATAGGGCACACTCTTTGTAAACCCCTGGGTGTTGGTTCATTGATTGAGGTAATGGTTAACAAATGAATATTTAAAAGTGCAAGGTTAAAAATCCCCAGTCTCTGGCCAATTAAAATTTAAAAGTTAATAAAAGCTGATTTAAAAAAAAAAAAAAAATCTTTTAAAAAAACTTTTTCAGAGTTTAGCATTTCAACTCCATAGTACCGGTATACAGGTACAGTGATCAGCATATGGCTTTCATTTACCTAGTAAATCATGACAGTACCACCAATCTTAACTTTAATCAAGGTCTGGTACCTAATCCGCATCCATTGCTTATCAATGGGGGGGTCCTTGATCCTGGTTTGACTTTAACGGTTACGAATGTGTCGGATCGGGGTCTTGGACGCTGTTCTTCGTGAGCGGCAGTGCAAGAGCGTCCTGCTCAGTCATGCTTCAGCAGATATTAATGTCGGTACCAGAACCTGCTTAGTTTATAACTGTTGAAAAATAATGAACCTTTTTCTGTCGATGGAGTTTGCAAGCTAGTTGGATAAACTGCTGAATACTAATGCGTCATATAAATAGTATTGAAAATTGACACCTACTTCATTTTCCCTTCCTATTCATTATGAACTTGGCTAATCCTTAGTTTAACAATAATGAACAGTGTTACAAAATTAAACAGAAAGCCATATATTTTTTAAGGTCTACTTTACTTAAAAGCATCTTGGGAATTCCAATCACTGTTATAGAGTACAGTTATAGAACACTGCACAGCTCACCAACTTATAAAGTAGCTCTTTCCAATTTCAATGTTTTTATATGTAATTTAAAGAATTCAGATTAATACCAGGCTGTAACATTTAAAATAAATTAAACAACAAAAGAGATTCAGTACAAACAGTTTTATTTCTTATTTACAAACCCCCCTCTGCTTCACTTGTATAAAGCAACACACAATATTCCATACTGATTAACTGCGCAAAAAGCACAGCACATTTTGTAGATTTATTATTACAAAATGATGGTTTATTCTTCAATCCACCAAAATAATCTGTGAAATGTATATGCCAATCAAACAGTTGGAATACCAAGTATGTAACTTAGTCGAGGAACAGCTGCCTTTATGAACCTCACCTCTGCTGAATGCATCACCACCAACTCATTCTTTTAAAATGGACAAACCTGCTCATCCCATCTCACAATTTAAAAAATTAAAAACCTGGTCTTGTTAATTAAAAAAAAAATTAAAAAACCTTACATTTAACAATGTGTGGCTAAGTGCAGGGAGTAAAAATTTATGATTTTATGTCTATAATTTCATTTGGTCACAGCTATTTTTTTTTAACAGAAAGAAAAGTACATGAACCAACTAAATGCTTAATTTATTTAAATTTAACTAGTGAAATTAAAACTAAGAAAAACAAGCCATGACCATAATGTTGTGATTTAAAAATAAACTATATAACCATCCAAGTTTTATTATACAAGTGTGTTACATGCAATAAAAATTATTTTGCCAAGCCTGGTACTTGTATAAGAATCTTTTCTCCAGCACTAGATTGATCAAGAGTTTTCATTGTGAATATTTTCATCCTAAGCCATTGTAAAGTATACTATTGATCACAATATTTGTTTACAGAGTAATTTTTACTTCTTAGACTACATCTCAAAATTATAAAATAATTGCAAACATTATAGCTATAATAGAAAATGTATAATGTTCCACTTGGTAGCTTGCTGAAGACCTTAAACTGTAAAGAAATGTAGTTTTTAATGTACGGTAAGTCAAAGAGTTTTTTCTATTGTAGTCTTTTCAGCAGTAAAATAATTGATCCACATAATCAAGACAAATTTTCTACAACTGGTAAAATTATGAAATGAAGACCTTTACCTTGACATTTAGATAGATAATGTACATCTTAGTAGTAATTAAAAAACAAAACCAGACACAAAGCAGCAACTAGCTGGCACTCAGACAATGGGGTAAAAATGGCGATCAAACTGTTGCACATGAGTGAAATATACCATCAAATAATAAGGAAAAATATCTGAAAATTTAATCTGAAAAGACGAAGTGCCCATGTAACATCTTGCTATGCTTAAATGTAATTAATGTTTGATGAATGGCAATTTTTTAAACAGTAATTCAAAACAATACAAGCAAGATTTGTTATCAAATTACTCTGTATCAGACTAATAACTAAATACAATTGAGACGCAAAATGAAAATAATTTGTTTAAAATATGAAATTTTTTAAATAAAGACAAAACATTGGTGTTTAAAATCCTTCAGCGAGATTTCTTATTTACAAAATAATATATACTGGTTAATCCCTTGGGAGAAAATAAAAATAGCATCTTGTTTGATAGCAACTCCACAACAGGACTGTCACACAAATACCCATTCAATTATTTTGTAATAAACATTTAACTATATTTAAGCTTACACAAGTTAAACAATCCCTTAAGATGGAAAAAAAAAAGGTACAGTAACAACTGTAATGAAAGGTATCAACTGATACACAATCCTGAAGAGCAAAAAAAAAATATTTTAAAATTGGCGTTCCAGTAAAATATGAGCAACAATTATCAAGCACAGCTCAGTCTTTTTAAGCTGCTGCCACCAAGTCATTTGAGTCAATTGGGCAATCTCGAGCTATGTGTCCCATTTGGTTGCAGTTGTAGCATTGAGTTTTGCTGGATGCATCTGGACAGTCCCGAGCCAAATGATCAGTTGATCCACACCTGTCCAAAATAAGTGAATAAGTAAGTAATGAGGAACAAAATATTATGACGATTACCCACTTATAAAGTGAGAAAAAGTAAAAGGAAATAAATAGACAAACTATTTGATAGACAATTAGTTTAAATAATTTAAGCTAATTTTTAAATGGATTCGACATGTTTGGTTGATGAAACTGTTCCATATTACTTACATATCTATATTTGAAAAAGAAATACAAATATACAGAAACGTTATAACATAAGTTATGGTTGACTGCTACTACCCGAGCAGAAAATAGCTCTTCACCTGAAGTAAGCACAGAAAACTGGACGAGCAATAAATTAAATTTGTCAATTATCACGTTTTTTCCATATGGTTATCACATTTGCCAATCCTTCAGCAAAAAGTAGATCTTTAAAAAATAACACTGAAAACTTTGAAGGCAAAAATAGCTATTTAAAATGTGCAATAATCTGCCACTACCCAATTCTGTACACATTTTAATGACCACTTTTGCTATCAATCTTAAGCTTTAGTAATGAAAAAAAGGCTCCATAGATGTATTTTTTTAAATGCTGAATTATATTTACATCTGTCTCTTCACCCTTTCACCAGAAATTTACAAGGACTTTTAAATGGTTACCAACCATTTCACATCATAGGGGAAAAAAAAAACAAACACCAAAAGCAACTTCCAACTACTTCTCTCCTCTCCTCTATTCCGCCAAGAGTTCCTCTTTCCTCACCTCTCCTGGCCGCCATCTTTCCTCTTTTTCACATTCCTTCCTAGTTCCACTTCACCTCCCTGCCACGGCCACTGTCAGCGGACCATCGATATGGCCCACTGCTTCGAGCAGGTCTGTCTCTAGCAGAGCGAATGGGCCCAACTCCTCCCCTGTTCAGATGATAATCACCATCTCAAATCTCCTCCTCCTCCCTCTCCACAAGAGCCACCTCTTTAAAAACTCATTATCAACCAGGCATCAGAATAACTATGTCTATTACAATTTTAAAAAATTAGTAAAATTTAACTATAGCACAACAAAAACCAATCACTGGTCAACAACCCAAGGAAGAACTTGTAACTCATAAATGCAATCTGACCAAGGTATAAAATTTATAGACTTCCTTATATCTAATTATGTGCTGTTATTAAAACCTACTGCATTGCCCAAGCACAACAGCTATTTTTATTGGCCGCAAATCAAATTATAAAGCCATTTGTATGTCAATATAATCAAAATTTAATTAGATTTTTACACCATCGTCAGAGGAAAATAAATATTTGTAAAGTTAAGAAAAATCTTATTTTAGAATTAAAAGGAAGAATGCAGAAAACAGTCCTAAAAATAGAAGATTTCATAGCAGATTAAGACACCACTAAATTTTGACTCAACAACACAATACCGCACAGTTACAAAAAATTAAAAAAATATGTTCCAGTAGTGTTTAAAGTCAACTATTTACATGTTATTCTGAGGCCTGGTTTTGGAAACTTACATAAACATGCTTTTGGCAAAAAAAAATCAAAGATGCTAATATAAATAAAAGTCAACTTTTAATTTCTCATCTCGGTCGGCCAAAATTTAGCAAATTTGATTTCTACTTTCCTAGCCTTTATTTTGACTATACACATTGCAATTAAATATGAAATTAAAACATAGCTCTAGTTCATTTGCCGTAGAGTGCTTGCCAAAAAATGTTTGTAAAAAAAATACTCTAATACTTTTTTCAATATATATGTTCACCATTCAATATTTTTTAGCACCAAACATGCGAATCAATGAAAAATATTTTGTACTTCAAGCTGAGCTTCTTTAACAACTAAATTTAAACCAGTACTTTGTACCTTAAAATAAGTAAAAAATATAGCAAAGCACTATGAGAAATATTGCCGATTTCTCAAACCACAATATGATAGTAAAAATATACCTGTAACAATCCCTAGCCATACTGCGTTGGGCAGTAGGACATTCTCTTGAAATGTGCCCAAATCCACCACAGCCGTAACATTTTCGATCATCAGGGCCACGGTCTTCAGGGCAATCTCTGGCCAAATGACCATTTTCACCACATCTATAACATGGTCGACTGCTAACCTCAGGACAGTCACGTTGAACATGTCCAGGACTCTTGCAATTGTAACAAGCACCTAATTAACAAAAATAGAAGTTAAAAAATATAAAAAATCAATTTGGCGATCATTTGTACATTTTTAGGCTAGTAGTGACATGTTAAGGAGGGCAACAATAGGAGAGTAAAAGGATTCCATATCTCAAAAGTATTTTAACACCTAAGCATCTAGACTAGAGGATCAACATTTCAATCTCCTTTTCACAATGACCTATTATTCTAACCACACAGTAAAAATTATGGTAAGCTAACGTGTCAAAACAGGGATAATTTTATGTGAAGTAAGGATTAAAATAACAGAATCGAAACTGTTATAACAAAAATAAAATTCATCAAAAGGAAGTAAAAATGTAAATAAAAATTAACCGTATTCTTCTTTCTTTAAATCTTAGCCAGATGCTAGTAAAAACCAAACGTCTTTTTAAAATGAAAAATCTAAGTAACTGTTACTTCTTTATAATCGGTGTAAAAAAAAGTATTAGTATGTCCCTCTGAAAATTGGGAGTTCCTTGCCCAGCAGCTTCAAAAGCGATGATTACTATCACAACTGGGAAATTCTTGAAATGCAAAGTTAGTTTTGGCAAAACATGAAACTAATTGTTTTTAAAAAAGTCAATATTGGCAGTGCTTTGTGTGACCTGTTTTCATCTGCCGAGGCTTGTCAACGTTGCCGAGCTTCTTACCCTCAATCAAACCTGTCGTGGATGCAACAAAGGTAAAATCAGGGGAATTATACCTTTCAAATTAAATGATTGATAAGGCTTTTATTAATCAGTCTGTTGGTTAGTTCTACCATGAGGCTCTGTTAAGTAACTTTACAATTCCATTTAGGAAACTCTAAACAATATGTATTATAGTTCATAATTACTCAGCTTATTTTTCATCACAACAAAACAATAAAAGCTTTGCAACATAGAAATTAGTTTAAGTATTATCTAGTTTAAATTGTAACTTCCAACTGTAATTAATGCTAGAAAAAATCATGTAAGCTGGAAATAATTTTTTTACATAAAGCTTACGGATAAGTTAAAAAAAAAACCCACTGAATATAAGTAAATTGACCCGGAATTGTAGAATTTATACAATTCTTAAATGGGATGGAAATAATTTTATCACAATGATACTCAACAGCGTATATTTTCTAGTTAAAGGGTAACAAAATGCACAAGTTACTCGAGCAATTCAATGAGGATAAAGTTTCACTTATCAGTAATAGTAATTTAAACAGTTCGTTTAAAGTCCGTGTATGTCCAATTCATATACCAGGAGATTGAAATGCCAACCTACTAGGAAATTTTTCAGGATGGACTAACATCATTATGATAATGGCTTTTCAAAATATTTTTTATAATTATATAATGGCAAAGCATGGTAAGATAAAGAACAGTAAATTTAACTAATTAAATGAGAGTTAATCCATGCAACTCCAACATCGAAATCAGTATCCTTGATATGCTTATTTCAAAACTAGCTAAGAAACACCAAAGTCTTGCAAAGTTTAAAACTATACGAGGCCAGTAAAGCTTATTGCCCAATGATATATATTACATTGCTTAGAGAAAAATTTTCATTTGAATACATGATAATTTTCTGTGATCGCCATTTAGATTTTTTACAAAGGACCAGGCATTGAAAAAATGAAATAAAGCAACCAAATATGAATACAATTTTATTTTAAGGACTTCAAAACAAGGACCTTGTTGGTTTTTTTGAGGAGATAGATATATATTTAAAAAAACCTAGAGCTTTTCCTGTTGCTCTGAGTTTTCAGAATGTAGAATATTTGAGTTGCCAAGTTGAATGGATTAGCAGTCATAAACAAATTTTTTAAAAGTATTTACTACCTTGTATTAAAAAAAAAAATGTTGATACAAAAATTTGAGGCCTAATTTATACAAATCAACATACAGTATTAAGTTATTACTACCATACTTAATTTTATTTAAGCAGTTATAGTAGTTATGTCTCCATCCCTTATAAAAGCAGACTCAGATAAAGGCTTATTTCCAATTAATATGCAAACTACTGATTGTCCATTCGAACAACTGTTATTTATACTATGTTACAAACCTGAATCAATATCTTTTTCACATTCTTTGGCAATGTGACCCAATTGATTACATTTGTAGCAACGGTCTTGGTCCATTCTACATTCTCTTGCAAAATGACCAGGTCTGTTACATTTGTAGCATTTATCTGTGGCAGGAATATATAAATAAAATAAAAATAAAATTATTATGAACATCTAATTAGACTACTAAGTAAGTATTAAGGGGGTTAAATTTAAACACAACTGATGAAATTTAGCCTGAGAAACAAAAATGTCTAAATGAAACATACAAATAAAGGGATTTATAGATTAAAAAATTAACATATGAACGGAACTTCTGATATAAAGCAACTGACAACAAAAAATCTTTCTTAAGAAGTAGCTTTTGAAAAAAAAAAAGCTCTAAAGATATCTTGCATTAACTCATTACAGCTGATTACAATGATATGCATCTCTTAGATCTTGGCAGTTGCAGCCTGTTACACCCCATTTAAATTAATTGAACCATGGTAGCAAGCTCACACATTACACAGCGGGGTGATAATGTGGAAACAAGTTGTTCAACCAAGAAACAGGAATGAGTTAAAAATTGCATGCCACAAAGACATAACTTTAAAATTATTAATCATCTTCTTTAAAGGCCATGGGAAAACTAAATATGATGTAGGCATGCAAGAGAATAAAAATGTCTGTACCCTCACCAGCTCCTCTCCCATTTCTGAAGTCCATGCGAGCACCACCACGATCTCGCCCACTAAAGCCTCCTGCACCACCACCCCCACCTGGGCCACTGCGGCAGTCTCTGGCCCAATGACCAGGCCTTCCACACTTGTAACAATCTCCTCCACTCATGCTGACGTTTCTACTCTGAAGATTAAAAGCATGTAAATGATAAAAATCTAAAGACATGACATTTAATAATATAATTTGACAAAAAAGCTAAACCTAGGGCTTAATAAGCTTTGTTTTAAATTAGTTGATTTGTTAAGTTGTCAGTCACACACATTGCTCCAGTGCCTTAAGCGCTAGGTAAGTTCTGAAAACTTTGTCTTCATTTTCACCTCTCAGAGTCATTAAATATTAGGTAAATTTGTTTAAAATGTTAATGGATGCTGAATTAAACACCCCTTTTACTTCAAATTAGAGGAGTATTGCCAATTGGTGTATGAATGCCGGTCTCATTTAAATTTTTTACTCCCATTTTAATGTAAAATATTTTATACTATATTTATATTATCATGTTCATCAGCAACAGTAGTTTCATGAAAAGTTTTAAAATATTTTGTAACAATTTAAAATGAAATCTTTTACTTTTATTGGCTGCTTACTCCACACTGGCCCCTAATTTATTTTACGGATTACTGGTGCACAAACTCAAATCACAAACTAAACAAAAATGTTTACAAGCCACTTTTACTTAAGTTTTTTACTATTATTTGCATTCAAGATACTCAGTACATTACTTGGTATCGCAGTCACGTGACAAGGCTGACCGACAAGATATCTCTCGCCACTTTGTTACGGCGGTCATGAGACTTGGTCGCCGGACAAATAGTGCGGGAGATATATGTGTAGACACTGCCTATAAAATTACCACTAGTACTAGTAGTTAGTAGTAGTCATTAGTAACTAGCCTTTAAATTTTAACTTAACTGTTAACTATAACTAGACTACTTCAAAACTACTTCGTCTTGAATTTAGGCTATAACATTTGAGTAGTTTTTATTTATAATTATATGCGTTCAATATTATATATAAAAAAGACTTAATTACCTTTTAATAAATAGAATAATTGATATTAGATTTAACACAAGCATAATAAGATTAGTTAAAATTCAATAAACATGTTATTTTTTTCCTGTATAAATAATGATTTTCCCAATATTTCTGTTCACTTTTTTCTGAACATACCTTTAAATAAATATCTACAAAAATAAGTCTTGATGTTATACAAAAGTTTTTTTGTTTATTGTGTTGTATATTGCATTGAGAATGTCTCCTGAAAATTTGGTAGCATTATCTTTTAAAATTAAAAAGTTTTGGGCAAAATAAGGCAGAAATTTGTTAAGTGGGTCACACGTTTTTTGAGTTAAATACTAAGATAAAGAAAGGGGTTTTAAAAAAATCACCAAAAAAATCATTACTCCACTTCTATAAAAGATAGAAAGATGAAATTGGTGTTGTTGTAAAGCTTATAGCTAGCCCTTTAAAATGATGTATCATTCATGGCAATCAGACAATATTTAAATTTTGTGTCAAAGTACCTAATTACATGGGTAACATAACATACTGAGTCATCTGAGCATTTCAATTTGTTCTCTTCAAATTACAAAATTTTTAAGTAAGCTACTCAATAATAGCCAGACTTAATACTTAGGCTGTCTCAGTCTTAAGCTTAATCTTAATAATCCAACTTTGTAGGCCCATTTAATGGGGATTTTGGGCTTGGTATTTTCTAACTCTAACTGTATATCAGATTTCTCTATTTAATGTTAGACTACAGATTTCTCTATTTAATGTTAGACTACAGATTTCTCTATTCAATGTTAGACTATTATGACATAGATGATGCCTTCATTTGCTTTGTTTTCTTCTTTTAAAAAAAAAATCAACCGTTACGGTTAAGCTACATCCACCAACTCATGCCAACTGGGACTGGGAGTTGAAACTTGAATGTCGAATCAAAGTCTAAACTTATGTATAATTACAGTAGTTCTTTCGCACAATTTTCTCTAACATTCCAGCTTCCACGATTTCTTCTTGAAAACTGATTATCTTAATACAGCGGTTTAAATTTAGCATCCAATAAATTAAACAGAAGTGAATATTTGTTTTACTTTTATGATATAATAATATTAAGTTAACAGCAATCTTTATTAGGCTTACGGCTTACAAACCCACTTGCGCACTTGTAACCGTGAAAGACTACGCCACAGAATATTAAACTCACTCACAACACCAAGAATTATAAAAACCAAAAATTACGAAATGTCTCCTTTAGGTTATAAGTAATATAACTTTTAGGGACATAATAATTAAGAACATGATATTGAATTTTATTTTGCCTTACCCTCCGATTTTCACAACCACTTCTCAGCTCCCCCTCACCACGCTCGATTTCAGTTTGTGTATTTTGCACACGGCGATGTCTACACCCAACATTTGCCAGATTTCCATATGATACTAACACTATTTTTCTTTCCTGTTGTCAAAAGGATTATGTAGATCCAACGACAATAGAATAAAATTACAAAAACATACAAAATATTTTTTTAAGCATACAAAACTCTGCATTTGTATCTGTTATTAAAAATCAATGTAAAAGGATACCTACAAAATTAAAACATATGTGATTGGCAAAATTAATGTCAACATGAACTGTTAACATAATTATGCAATTTATCGCTCCTTCAAGCAACAATATTAAACAAAGCTAAAATATATATTCTTAATTTTAAAAAAGAGTGCCATATTTTATTATAATAAATTAAAAAAAATGTTATACATTTAATAAACTCAATCTAAATAAATATAATATGATTTAATTAATTAAACGTCTTATTTCACTAAGTATCATTTGTTAACTTAAATATTTCTTTAATGTGACTATAATGCTTCTTCTATTTCTTAAGGCCCCGTGATCAAAGTATTGATAATTCTGGCTCCTATTTAGGTAGAGGGGATTCACGATGTTTCTGTGCCTGGTATTGACTAGGATATTTCACTGGTTGCAAGGGCTACTCACCGATGGTATCAGCTTTTAATGGAAGGGGCATACAGTTCAACTAAAATGTGACAGAGGGCTTCATAGAGTCATACGACGACTCTGTGTAAAACATCTTTTATTTTAAAGCAATCTGTTAGTCATCCTGGCAGACCCTTCCTTTGCCTGCTTAATTTTGCACACGATCTATTTGGTATCACTTCCTGTTACTTTCTTACCTCAATTTTTAGAGAACTGTTTCTGAAAAGAACAACATGTTTACGTCTCTTGCAAGCAATACACTAGTTTAAACTAATGTCCTGTACCTACACAATTAGCGGATTTTACAATATATATAACCTGATTATAATACTTTGGGTAATATTCTGTTTTTGTGAACCAGTAAATTCGTATTTAAGCAAAATATATAAAAAATTATAGGCTAAGATTCGACAATCCATTTTCATTTCAGCTGATTTCAAAATTTCTCAACTTACTTCTCACTCAACTTTCGGCAATCCTCCGAAGTCCGGTCCCAAATTATTTCGTCTGAAAAAAACTACAATGCACAGTGTGTATGTATTGTTAGAAAACAGCTGAAATGTCAGTCATAGCTTTTGCAAATAACTATCACTTTACAAACCAGTAAGTAAATACTAAGGCCGGCACTACGTACACCGCGGCGGTGTACCTAGCGAAACTATTGACTTTGGCCTGCGTACACCGCGGCGGTGTACCTAGCTAAATCATGGTCTGTGGCCTGCGTACACCGCAGCGATTTAAAGTAGCAAAACTATGGTCTTTGCGAGTCTTTAACTTTTTTGGCCTAACCAGTACTTGTAGATTTAATGTTATACTAGTGTTAAAACTGAAAACTGTTTATTTAAAATTCGTTTATTACCTTGGGAAGATATTGAGTAAGTTCCACGCTTGTGTGGCAAAGTGCATGTAAAGCATTTCTTCTTATTTTTGGAAGGGAGGGGGCTGGGGGTGTAATGTTAAACCATGATTTATTTTTAAAGTTAACCACTTTATTCCCCCTCCCCCAATATATTGAAATACAAATATATTTATTAATTGTAAGTTTTATCATATGATTGTGAATCTTAATTTAAAATTATTCTCTCATGCCC